GCCTGTGCACCAAAGGTTTTCGGGTTCGATTCCCAGTCAAGGGCATGTACCTGAATTATTGTGGGTTCACTCCCTGTCCCCCTCGTCGGGTGAGTTCGGGAGGCAACTAGTCGATATGCCTCTCTCACATCGATGTTTCTCTCTCTCTCCATCCCTCCCTTCCAATCCCTTTGAAAAGCAATGAAAAAAATATCCTCTGGTGAAGATTAACAAAATCATCATCATCATCATCTGGAGAAGTTAGATTGTGAATCTGAGTTTTACTTTCCATCGTTGAACCAGCACCCGCCCGCTGAGTGCCTTCTCTGTGTTTGGCTGGTGTTGGGGACACAATAGTGAGTCCAGTGTGGGGGACGATGACCCGCAGTGGGCAGGGCTGGGATGTGGGTCCCAGGAGGCTGCAGGAGCCCAGAAGGGACGTTTCAGGAAGCCTGTGGAGGTCAGAGAAAAAGCTCCCAGAGGAGGGAGCCTGTGCACTGCGGCTTGGAGAACTGGTATGAAGCGGCTTGGGAGTCTACGGCCTGGTCCACGGGCCAGCAGCGCCCCCTGCTGGATACGTTCTGTAGTGCAGGGACCAGGCTTTGCAGGGGTTCAGGAAAGCTCGCCTTGAGCTATTTTCTATGATGCTAGAACATGTGAGCCCTGTCTGGACCAATTGACGTTTCTAGGACTTGATTCAGTCTGCCAATCACTCAACAAATATTTATTGAGCACCTACGTTGCGTCATCTCTTCTAGTGCTAAAGATACAGTGCTGGCCTTCGCTGGATAATTCAGTTAGAATGTTGTCCTGATTGGCCAGGGTTGAGGGTTCCATCCCCGGTCAGGGTACATGCCTCTCTCTGTCCCTCTCCCTTCCTCTTTCTCTAAAAGTATCAATAAAAAGTATTTTTAAAAAAGGAATCAACCATTGAGTACATAAATAAGTGGAACAACAGTCTGGCTGGTATGCTCAGTGGATTGAGCATCGTCCCATGGACCAAGAGGGTCCCGGGTTCGATTCCCAGTCAGGGCACATGCCCAGGTTGCAAGCTCGATCCCCAGTAGGGGGTGTGCAGCAGGCAGCTGATCAATGTGCTTCTCTCATCGATGTTTCTCTCTTTCTCTCCTCTCTTCCTCTTGAAATCAATAAAAATATTTAAAATAAATAAATAAGCCCTAACCAGTTTGGCTCAGTGGATAGAGCGTCCGCCTTGGGACTGAAAGGTCCCAGGTTTGATTCCGGTCAAGGGCATGTACCTTGGTTGCGGGCTGATCCCCAGTAGGGGGCGTGCAGGAGGCAGCTGATTGATGTTTCTAACTCTCTATCCCTCTCCCTTCCTCTCTGTAAAAAATCAATAAAATAAAATAAAAATAATAAAAATAAATAAATAAATAAATAAATTTAAAAAGTACGGAGTTTCTTGACCTTACAACCCTCTCCAGCTACTGATCCATTTCCGCCTTCTTTAAAAAAAAAAGTGGAACAACAAATCAATGTTTCTCTTTCTCTCTCTGAAATCAATCAATCAATCAATCAATCAATCAAAAGATACAGGGCTGCCCAGATGGCATGGCTCAGTGGTTGAGCATCAACCTATGAACCAGGAGGTTCAACCTATGACTGGTTCAATTCCCAATCAGGGCACATGCCTTTGTTGCTGGCTCGATCCCCAGTAGGGGGCGTGCAAGAGGTAGTCGGTCAATGATTCTCTCTCATCATTGATGTTTCTATCTCTCTCTTCCTTTCTGATATCAATGAAAATATTTTTTTAAAAAAAGATACAGTGCTGACCATACAGAGCCCTATCTTCAGGAGCTGACATTCTGGGGGGAGGTGGGGACAATAATATCATACATGCAATCAGTAGCTAATATTTGCTAAATGCTTCCTAACCATTTATTAACTCATTCTATCCTCACGGCCTTTGACCATCCCCATTTTACAGATGAGGAAATACGAGGCACAAGGCGGGTAAGTGACTTGCCCAAGACCTGCACAGCTAAGTGCTCCAATGAGATTTGAACCCAGAGCCCAAAGTTTAGCCATTACATCACCTCCCCTCACAATAATGTGCTGTAACGTCATAATGTGATATATGACATGAAATAATATATCATTTAGGCCCTAAAAAGTTTGTGAACCAAAACAAGAGGGGAAATGAGGCAGCGTTTTTGTGAAAAGGTGTCATTTAGGAGGGGCAATCAGGGGAGGCCTCTCGGAGGAAGCAGCCTTTGCGAAGAGACCAGACAAATGGTGACACGTATGAGAAGAGAGGTCCAGGCTGGAGGCACAACCGAGGCAAAGGCCCAGCGGCTGAAACGGCAAGAAGGCCCCGGGTCTGGGACCCAAAGTTCCCAAGATTCCGAGTTCTTGAGGTTCCAGCTCGCCGAGCCCCGTTCCCAGGCCTCGCGCACGCTGGACTCATCCTCAGGTTCGCCAGGCCCTGGAGGCTCCGGGCTCCGCGCCCAGGTGCTGCAGTTTCCGCGGGGCCCTGGCCACCGGCTAAA